CATGTCCGGTTAAGGCGGAAGTGTCATCTCTTATTCGTTCTATTCTTGATGATAGTTTGTATTTCCAATACCAATACATGATCATAAATAGCAAAAGTTCTTCCTCAAAATCCATGTATCACCTTGAAAATAACATATATTGCAAAAACATGAGAAACACATATATCGAACAAGAAAACCACATAAGCATAACATGTTCCAATCCAAAAATAAACATACCATTCTTAACATGTTCCAATCCTAAAATAAACATAACATGTTCCAAAAGATATCATCCCAAAAGCAAAGTGTAATCAAACCTACTAACTAATTCCATATCTAGTCCAAACAATTTTATAAAGTATAATGTAACATAAAGTTTAGCAAACGAATAAACAAACAATAAACATAATTTCTACAAGATCAGTTTATGCATATTTTAGATCCATGAATCTCCCCCCCCCCTCTCTCTCTCTATCTATCTATCTATATATATATATATATATATATATATATATATATATATATCATCCCTTCCATCTCACCAATTGATAGGTATTGTTAACAAACAGAATATGAAAGTGAAAGTAAATAGGTACTCCATTCTAAAATACCAAAAAACAGAAGCTGAAATAGGTGCTCCATTCTAAAATACCAAAAAACAAAAGATGAAAGTCTAGCGTTCCTATGTTTCCTAGACAAAAGAAAAGCTAAAATACCAAAAAACAGAAGCTAAAATAGGTACTCTATTCTAAAGTGAAGCTACTGTTAAGAAATAGAACCAAAATCATCCAAATATACCCTATTGTGTTCAAGTGAAGCTACTGTTAAGGGCGACCGGCGACCGACGATTTTTTCATCCAAAACAGAAGATAGATGAAAGATTGGAGACAGAAGATACCTGATGGAGGCAAGCGGCAAAGCTGTGGAAGGCGACCGACGATGGAGACGGTGGAGGTCTCCGGCAATGGAGACTCGGGAGGCGACAACCGGCCGACCTGGGGAAGGGGACGAGTTCTCGTGAAGGCGATGTTAAGAGGGAATGCGACGGCTGGAAGAGTGGTGTGGAAGGGTAAAGAGGGAACAAATGCAATCTGAATGGTTTAGTGAAGCCCTAGATGCAAAATAGTTAAGAGGTTATTGTAACCATTAAAAGGGTTGTCTTTTTTTGCCAAACAGACCTTACCTCTTACCGATTAAGAGGTTGGCTCATAATGTCACCATTAAGAGCCAAACAAACAGCCCCTAAGTTATTGAGTATCATTCATATAAAAATAATTTTTTTTCTTCATTAGAGAGACCAAACAATTAACTATTTTTTGATTATTTTTACCAAACAAATGTGTGAATTTGTTAATAGAAAATACAATTATTTGGTAACATAACTTTATTTAATTATACCAAACAAATGTATGTTATATATTAATGTGTTACAGTAAGGTTAAAAGTATTAACGACTTCCATTTGAAAAAAGTCAGTGTCAAAAACCGAACTTATATAAAACTAAGACTATAATGACCATAAATAAAATAAAAATTATATGAAAAATATTTAATTATTATTATTATCATAAATAATAACAAAATAATATATTTTTTAATGTAGTTAATTCTTTTATCAAAGAATATATAGTTTTATTAATCCAAAATTACTGAAATACCAAAAAGAGAAACCAAGAAAGATATTTAATAAACCTAAAAGAAAAAAAATATCAAAAGAGGACTAAAAGTACACCAAGGTTAAATGGGGGAGTTTTGATAGATTTAATCTGAAGAACGAAAACAGTAATGAATTGTAAACTATAGGGACTAAAACTACAATAAATTACAAATTATAGGGATGAAAATCGCAATTTCAAAACCCCATGAACGAAAATGACAATCTTTTTTTTTATTAACCTGGATATCCAACCCGCTATGCGAGCCGACTAATCCCAGGGCGACCATCTGCTTTGCAGATAGCCCAGAGTCACTGCATTTGAACCTCCGTGGCCACAAGGGGATTTTTATTTCTCTTTGAATTTGAACATGTGACCTCCTGTTACTTTTGACCTTTGGAACCAAACTCAAACCAATCAGGCACCACCCTTGTGGTTAAATTTCAATCTTTTGCAAATCACATTGACGAAAATCATAGTTTACTCTAAAACATAATACAAATAAATTAAAATAAGAACAAGAGAAAAGACAAAAAAGAACTGATAATGATATAGGGGTTAAGATTATCCTCAACAATGGCCGTGAGTGTCATTGGCCTCAAAATGTGATGGTTGTGTTTTTTTGAACTTTTCTCTGAGGAAATTTATGAAAAAAAATGTTGTTATTTCGTACATTTAACCCTTAAAATTTGACACAACTTTAGAAATGTATAATTATTAAAAAAATTTAAGCAGGGGCGGAACCTTATGGGGGCCATGACCTCCCCACTTTTAGACTCAAATAGTATAATTAAGCTTTTATAAACAAATATGATAAGTAGCTCAATTGATAATCATTTGGGGTTCCATCTTGGAGGTCATCATTTCGAAACCTTTCTTTGCATTTTTTCCAATTTACTTTATATAAATTATTAATATTTAGTTATATGTATTAGTTTTTATATAATATATTAATTATATGTAAATATAAGTTTTTAAAGTAAATTACACCGGTATTACTATTTTTCGGTTAATACTTTGAATGTTTAAGTTTTTAGAGTAAATAATATAATATATTAATTATATGTAAATAATTTTAAGTTGATATTACTATTTTCCTGCTAATACTTTGAATGTTTCGAGTTTTAATGTTACATTAATCAATCTTTTTTTTTAAATTTAACAGCCTGAAAACGAATCATTTGGATTTACAAATTTTTACAATATTATAACATCTCCAACATATTCTTCAAAAAAATTTCAAAATGAATAATTAAAACTTTAATAAAATATTATTTTTCTCTCATAAACCATTAATATTAAGGATTCCTAATCAGTGTGAATATGTTAAAAAAAACTGTCTCTCTCATTTTAATCATTTTTGGTTTACAATCTCTCATGTTTTCTCCATTTTAAAGAATTTTGGAGAGGCTCTTGGAGCAAAAATATGCCTAAAATCTCCATTTTCTCAATTTTAGAAAATCTATTGAAGACGCTCTTATATTTCGGCCCCCTGGATTAGAACGGTCGTGTTCCGCCCCTGTTTTTAAGAGCGTCCCCAACAAATACACAATAAAGATACTCTTATATTTCGGCCCTCCGGATTAGTACAGTCGTGTTCCGCCCCCTGTTTTTAAGAGCGTCCCCAACAAATACACAATAAATTTTCTAAAATAGAATATCCAACATTAATTATATTTTATTAAACTATCCTGTAAAAATTTACATCTAACTTCCAGAGCTATTATATTTTAAATATTTAATATTAATTACATAATTAAAATATTTAATAAATTTAATAAAATATCTAATATTAATTATACATTAAATTTTAATTTTATATATTGACGGTAAAATATTATTTCTCGCATTTAATTATTAAATAATGAATTTTAGAGATTTTTCTAATTTTAAAGAACCATCTTTCTTATGTTCTCTATTTTTACATATATTAGCAAAGATTTTACAGATGTTGTAAGAACATCTCTAACGTATATTTTATAATTCTTCTAAAATAAAGTTTTAGAAATTGAAATTTCTAAAAAATATATTTGTTGTAAAGAATTAAATATTATTTTTTTCTCTATAAAATATGAAATTTTAAATATTTTCCTAAATTTGGAGATTCTCTATCTCTTTTCTTTTTTCTATTTTATCATCTCCTACATTTATGACCTAATTTTTCTAAAATAAAATACCAAAAATCAAAATGTCCAAAAATTTTATCAGTTCTAACATTAACTGTATTATTAAAATATTTAATACTTTTAATAAAATATTATTTTTCTTTCTTAAATATTTATTTTCAATTGATACGTAATGATTAAAATATTAATTTTCTATCCTATATAGCGTTTTTACAGCTTTCTCAAAATTTGAAAATCTTCATTTCCTTTTTCTCCTTTTAGTATATGTTTTAGCGTTACTGTTGGAGCAAAAAAACCATTAAATTTTCTAAATTTCTATTTTAGCATATTTGTTGGAGATGCTCTTATTTTCTTTATTTTAGCATACATTTTAGCATGGCTGTTAGAGGGAAAAAAAACTATAAATCTCCAAAATCTCTATATTAACATAACCATTGGAGCCAAAAACATCTTTAAATTGTTATTTCAACATAGTTGTTAGAGAGGCATAAAACAAGTTTAGCTTTAATAATAAAGTGAATAAACGTTTAATTTGGTGAATAATGTAATATAAAATAGATAATAAAACATTTTATTTTTAAAAGAAAATTTAAAATACTTGGTAAATGCCTAAAAACGTCCCATAAACCTACTATAAACCTTTTGAATATGAAATTTTATTGTATAAACTTAATTACTTTAAAAAGAACTCTCTCTCTCTCACACACACACACACACACACACATATATATATATATATACACACACACACAGGTTGGTTATTATACAACTCTTGACATTTGTACAACCAATATAACTCAATCTCAACCGTCCATTTCATTTGATTAATATGCGATTTCATAGAAGTTTTAATTGTTTCCTAATATAAAGTATTGATCATAATTAACGAACCATATTCATTTTCCATAAATATTCAAATCATAATAAATGAACTCTCATTATTTCCATAAATATTTTAATTTATTGAGTTGCATTGATTGTACAAATACGAAAGATTGCATTTGAAACAAACTATATATATATATATATATATATATATATATATATAATTAAACATTTGCATGCAATTAAGTTGGTGCCACCTAACACTAGCTTGTGGGTGTTAATTTTGTTTTTTACTCCATATAAATACAACCATCTTATTGAGAGAGAGTCGTATGTGGGTTTAGTTTCTTTTATTTCTCCAAATAATAAATAATAAATAATAAATAATTGGGGGTGGAGACTGGAGAGAGATGATGGAGGCATCGGAAGAGAAGAAGAAGAGGAAGATGCAGGGTTTGAAGGCGACGATGATGATGATCGCTACTCAATTGGCAACTGCAGGAATCACCATTTTCTACAAATTAGCAGCAAATGATGGAATGCATATCACCATTTTGATTGCTTATCGCTACTTATTTGCTTCTCTTATCATCTTCCCTCTTGCTCTCTTCATTGAAAGGTACTCTTTTTTCTCTCTCTCACATCATTTATTTACAAAAATATTGTATTAACTTTGAATTCATATATCTTCTGATTTGTAATTTAAAATCACAACAAACCATTAAATTACCATCGAGAAAGACGTAGAATAAAAGAAAAATGACGTTTTAGGTTGTCAGCAAATAATTTGTGAAACAAACCACAAAATGTTGCAATGAAGATATCTTCATTGAATCATCAACAAATCATAAGAATTTTTCCTTTCCAATCTGATTTATTGAAATTTTAATTGATTTATTTTATTTGTGAATGTTGCAGAAACAAAAGACCCAAGTTAACATGGAAGATATTCTTTCAAGCTTTTGTTTGTGCAATTATTGGGTAAGTCATATGTGCTACTATTACATCTAATGAAAATACACGTAATTAAATGAGATTTTAATTAAATCCATTAACTCATGATCTAATTAAAAAGAAAAATTAAGATACGTGAATCACATAGATTCATATATGAACATATAGTTTATATGTAAATCACATATATTCATATATGAACCCGTTTTGTCGCTTATTTGTAAAAGTTATGAAATTATCCCCTCTATTTTTTGAATAGCCACAAATTTTGACCGGTCAAAGCCATAATTTTTGACATGTCAAAGATGCAATTAATTCATATGTGAAATTGTTAATTAGTTCACATATGAACCCGTTTGCCGCTTATTTATAAAAGTTACGAAACTACCTCTCTATCTTCCGCATACCCATGCGAGCAATAATCCAGTGCTTCACGATCAAAGCCACAAATGTTGACCAGATGCAGTGTTAAGATCATTTCTTTACTTTTCAAATATTTACCATTTCTCAAGAGAAATTTTCCACAAATTTGAATGAATGCTATATGAAACTTATGCCTACTATATTTATGCCTTTTTCTCTTAGATTTTGTTTGTTTTACATGATTGTTTTTTAGAGATTTGAATTGGAATAAATTTGAAATCATTAGTGTGCTTAGTTTGTAGGATTTGTAATGGAATTGAATTCCGTTATTTATATAAAAAAAAATTATTAAATTTTTATTAATCGATTATTACAAAAAAAAAATATGATTTTAACATTTTTTTTAAAACCTTGATTCATACAATCCTAAAAAATCTGTGAAATCCCAAGCACCCCCTAAGGATTTCAAAATTATATATTTGTATGATTTCATTAAATCTTAGTATTTCAATTCCGAACAATCCAACAAACCAAACATTGAATTGGAATGGATTTGAAATCCAAATCAATTCAATTCCTACAAACCAAACACAACCTTACGGCCCATTTGGTTTGATGAAATGTTTTTTTAGTGATTTGGATTTCATGGAAGGATTTGGAATTAGTGGGTTTGGATTGGTCATGATTTGAAATGTTTGAAGTGTTTGGTTTTTAAGATTTGGAATAAAATTGAATTTTAATCTTTATAAATAAATTGTAAAAACAAATTATAAATAATTATAAAAATAATTAAATTATCTTATTATTAATTGATTATTGAAAAACACACATTTTTATTTTTTAACATATTTTAAACATTATTATATACAAATAATTCAAAATCCCAACCACGCCCATGGGATTTCTAAATCCATGTTTACGGATTTCAATAAAATCCACGGATTTCAAATCTAGAAAATCCTTCAAACCAAACATGAGATTAGAATGAATTCCGATTCCAAATTCCTCCAAAACCAATCCAATCCTGCAAACTAAAAACGTGACCTCAAAAGTACATTAACGTTTTCCAAGTCGAAATAATGCAGGCTTCCGATGGTGCAACTTTTATATGCCGAAAGCTTAGTTCTAACTTCCGCAACATATGCTGCAGCTATTTCCAATCTCGCCCCTCCCTTCACCTTCGTCATTGGTGTTTTGTTCGGGTAAAACATTTTGCACATTTGTTAATTTGGTATGAATATGATCACACAATATATAGTTATACATTTTAACTTCAATATCCGTCTAATCATTTTGTACCAAACCATTCAACAACTATCAAACAATCCCTTAAATGTTCATAAAAAAAGACACGTAGTTTTAACAATTGATGAATTTTGTACGGAAAAGCACGGAGAAGGTGAAAATAGGTACAAAGGGAGGGAAGGCAAAGGTGGTTGGAACCCTTGTGGGGGTGGTTGGAGCCATGGTTCTTACGTTCTACAAAGGTCGTCAGCTCAACATTTGGTCAACTCATTACAACGTTTTGCATGGCGATGGACACGTGGCATCAACCCATAAGACTTCCACTCATCATCTCATTGGCTCTCTGTCAGCACTCGGTTCTTGCCTTTCTATTGCCCTTTATTTAACACTTCAGGTACAATTTTTTTTTTATCTAGAGTAAACTACAATTTTAGTCCTTATAGTTTGTCGAAATTAACATTTTTGTACGTAGTTTTGAAATTACGAGATGGTTATCATGGTTTGTAAAAAGGTTAAAAAATTTCCGTTGTTTAATGGCCGTTAAAAATTTTATGGTAGACGAGGGACATTTTCGATTTTTTATCGATTTTTTTATCTTTTACTCAATCAAAACCGATTTTATGATTTGGTTTATGTGGTTTTTGATTGGGTAATGATAAAAAAAAATCAATAAAAAGACAAAAAAGTATCTCTCATTTGACGGAAAATTTTAACTATCGTTAGAGGGAGGGATCAAATCCAAACGTTTTCACAAACCATGATGGTTATCTTGTAATTTTGAAACTGAAAGGATGAAATGTGTTATTTTTGGCAAATCATATGAACCAAATTTTTAGTTTACTCAAATATATGTAATAATAAACTACGTTTTTTGTCCTTTATGATTTGTTGAAATTTATTATTTGTCACTTATATTTTCAAAATTACAATTTTAGTTCTTGTAGTTTATAATTCTTTGCTTTTTTTTATCCATGTGGTTTACAATCAAAGTTGTCCCTTAACATGTTAAATATGAAATTTTGAACAGGGCTCCAAAATTTTGTGGCCCAATTTTACATGTGTTTAGAATGTAGGGTTTAGATTCAGTTCGTTAATCGTTTAGATTTAGCACATTTTTGTGCTTAACATGAATATCTGTTATCTCATTTATGTAATTTAATCAAAACATTTGGATGTAACAATGCCTACAAAAAGGTTGGAACATCTATGTTTACAATTCTTTTGCCTTTTTCGTGCATATGGTTTACAATTTATTGTTACACTTTTTCCCGTATTTAATTGTAATGAATTGCCTCATGAACAAAAACAACAATAAGTTGCAAATTATAATAACCAAAACCATAATTTCATAATTATATGGATAAAAACTTTAAACAAACAAGAGGGACAAAAATCGCTATTGTATCTGATATTATTAACTTACTGATAGTTATATTTCTATAACATATTTTTTTAATAAACAGGTTAAATTAAGTGCCGTTTATCCATGCCATTATACAAATACGTTTTTGATCACTGCAATGGGTTGCATACTATCGCTTGTTTTTGCTCTTTGTGTCGAGAGATCTTGGAGTCAATGGAAGCTCGGTTGGAACATCAGACTGCTTGCCGTTTTCTTTATGGTAAATAATTATCTTTGAGTTGTTTTGATCATCTGATTAATGTGAAACTCATTAAATCTTGATTCACATGTATGTGTGTCACAGGGAATAGGCTCAACGTTAACGATTCTATTCCTCACAACAGCAATACATCTACAAGGCCCGTTATTCGCGGCAAATTTTAGTCCTTTGTCGCTTGTATTCGTGGCAATAGGTGGATCTCTTCTACTTGACGAAAACTTGCATGTGGGAAGGTAACATTTTGCATAGGACGCATAAGCAATTAATCATGACATTTAGACATTTTCTACTATAATCCTAATTTTGTAGTAGTGAACACCACATTTGTACACGATATGAACTGCTAATGTTGTTTTGGATAGTTGAAATGTGAACAAAAACTAAATGATTACATAATAACATTTACAGCGTGTTAGGAGCCGTGATAATCATAGTTGGGTTGTACATACTCTTATGGGGTAAAAGCAATATGATGAGAATGTCCAAGCAAATGCCAACGACGAGCTCAAAAGATGGGAACGAAGCCCTAACCATCAATGCTGCCATGACCGCTCTTGATACTGTGCATGTGGCTCGTACCTCCCTTTCGACTACCAATGAAGACAACGAGATGCCATTGTCTACAAGGGAAAAACAGGAGGAGCAAAAAGTTACTAAAAAATAAATGGTAGAAAATGAGAAATTTGCATGCTTCGTTTGGATGGTGAAAAGATGTTGAAAGGGTTTGGTTTCTATTTGCTAGTAACCTATGTTATCTCCCATTAGAAATTTGTCGGTCGTTGATGGATATTACTATTTATATTGATTGTTTATTTGGAAATGCTATTAGAATGATTATATATCAGTATGCGGATATATAGGGATGGGTTTCATTGGAAACTATAAGCTCGTTGTGAACTCGAGGAACCAGTTATTCATAATGAATAACACAAAATAATCATGAATATTTCACGAATATCATTCATTTTCATTTCTTTTTATTTAATGCATTTTTATCATTAGTATCACATATTCCTATGGGGGATAAGTTTCTTCATTAATATTTATCATGATGTTCATCATAAGTAATTTTTATTATTAAATGTTTTTCATAATGTATAGTTGCTTCCATGGGTTCTCAATGAATTTGTGGTTCTCTCACACACACACACACACACACACACACATATATATATATATATATATATTATATTATATTATATGTGTGTGTGTGTGTGCAGAGAGAGACGTCTTTCTATTACAAACCCAATAAATGTTATAAATCAGTTTTCATGTGTTATTTCATATAAAGGACAGAAAAGAAAAGAAGGATGTTTCCAATGACTAAAGCAATTGTTATTACAAGAGTAATTCGTGTTATAGTTTGTTGGATCAATCGTTTTTTTGGTTATTGATCAAGATTTTACTTGCGACTTGTTCTTTGATAACTGTATCGGATTGTCCATAATTACAATTTCTGGTATTTCATTGGAAAAGCATTTGAAAGGTTGATTATCGAGCATCCGGGGTGTGGATAACCTTGTATGGTCGAATTGTGGAATGGTGTAGCCATAGCCATGGGGAATTAATTGGTAAGCCATGGATATATCGTTAATAGTCTAATTTTCTATAAGTAAGGTCTCAATCCTAATGTTAGATATGTTGACAATGGAGGAGCAGATGGTAAAACAGGGACCGTTGATTTAGGTTTGTGAAAGGGGTCACTTAACCCGAATTTCAGTGATGGTTTCGGGCCTTGGTTGTGCTCCAGGGTTTCTGGATTTTAGCTTTGGATTTGGTCTGAATTCTAATGAAGATCCACAAGCTTCACATTCTAGATTGGACTTTCATAGTGACCAATCTAGATCGGGTTTTGAAGGTGACCTATGGGATGTATCTAATGGCCTAGCTAGTGGACTACAGTCTGTAAGCGAAACCACTAAGAGCATCCACAGCGGTAACTTTTCAAGGTTCATGAACCAGTTCATATATTGAAGCTTCCTTGGGATATGCCTTTTCAGAGCCGCCTACCTATCACCGACTGGCTAGAGATGAAACAAGAGCTATCAAGAACAGGGCGGGATGGCCATAGGGGTCTTTGGGGGCCATAGTCACCCTGTTTTTTATGTCCTAAATAGCTTAATGCCTTTATGTGCTCCATTTAACATTTAAAATATATAACTTTTTACTTAGGTCCTTACAGCCTCCGGCTAATACATTTATCCGACAACTTCAAGGGACCAATTCTTTCACTATTAATTCCACAACACTCGCCCAAAACCGACTAATAATAATTGAAGTTAGAATTGGTTATAAGTTACATTAATGAACTCAAATTTAGAATTGACAACTGATAGAGAAACAAATAGAACTAGCTCTAGGATTTCAATTGGAATTCGATACATGACAAAACTTCGTCAACTAATTCATTGTATGTGGTCAAGGATAGTGGTCGTGTGAGACCTAATCACCTAAATCTAAATCAGTAAATTGTGACCATGCGCACTCTCTATCCCCTAGTAAACTGTCTCAAGCCTAAAACCTCCATGAAATCGAGCCTCTACAAGTTCTAGACACATTGTGATTTGAAACTCTACGAAATCAAAAATATTTGAGATTTTTAAATTTAATGTACTTTTAACATGTTATAACTTTAAATAGTGTATTTTTGTAATTTGGAAAATAGATTAGTGATTAGGTCCGACCACTGTGGTTAGAACTTAGAAGTAGGGGTGAGCAAAACCCGAAATATCCGATAGAATCAGGCCAGAAAATCACCAGAATCCAATCCCGAAACCTTATACAACCCGAAACCCTGTATTTTCCTCGGGTATGGAGAATTGATTGGGTATCCTACTTTGCACCATGACCCGTCTGACGACCCGACATTTCATTAACTATTATATATATATATATATATATATATATATATAGGG